GTGCCAGGTAAGTCCACTACGGGCTCACCATAGCCCGTGCTACTTGCCCCGCTCCTGTGCCAGGTAAGTCCACTACGGGCTCACCATAGCCCGTACTACTTGCCCCGCTCCTGTGCCAGGTAAGTCCACTACGGGCTCGCCATAGCCCGTGCTACTTGGAACTTGTTGCGAGTAGCTGAATCTATAACAACAACAACAAATTCATGACTGAAGTGTGCCTTATCAGGACCTGGAGACTTAGTGACCAAACCACACGTCAGAAATGAAGAAATGACGACCTTTCGGTCTGCAGGCGATGAGTCACAATAACGTGACTCGTAAAGGGGCCTCGTAGCCTGGTGGATAGCGCGCAGGACTCGTAATTCTGTGGCGCGGGTTCGATTCCCGCACGAGGCAGAAACAAATGGGCAAAGTTTCTTTCACCCTGAATGCCCCTGTTACCTAGCAGTAAATAGGTACCTGGGAGTTAGTCAGCTGTCACGGGCTGCTTCCTGGGGGTGGAGGCCTGGTCGAGGACCGGGCCGCGGGGACACTAAAAAGCCCCGAAATCATCTCAAGATAACGTGGCTAAAGTATGTTGACCAGACCACACACTAGAAGGTGAAGGGACGACGACGTTTCGGTCCGTCCTGGACCATTGCGGACCTCACACACGGTAATGGTCCAGGACGGACCGAAACATCGTCGTCTCGTCATCTTTTGGTGTGTGGTTTAGTCATTATATCTTCAGCCCCGTTATTGTGACTCATCGTCCGCACAAGCACCTAGAGGAGCGTGTGGTCATTGTTTTGTTGTTTAATAAGATTCAGCTCCTGGGGAGCTAAAAGTTCCAAGTAGCACGGGCTATGGTGAGCCCGGGATGGGCTCACCTGGCACAGGAGCGGGGATGAAACATGAATCGTGTGGTCATTTGGTCCCCTTGTACAATATCGCATCACAATGGCGTGGCACATCAATCAAAATCATATTTATCGCATGTTTCCGTACTATCCTAAGACTTCAACTTAATCTCAAGCACTTGGGATGGACGGTAGAGCGACGGTCTAGCGTCATGCAGGTCGGCGTTCAATCCCCAACGGTCCACAAGTGGTTGGGTACCATTCCTTCCCCCCCGTCTCAACCCAAATCCTTATCCTGACTGATTGATTGATTGATGAAGATTAAGCCACTCAAAAGGTGGCACGGGCATGAATAGCCCGTAAGTGGTGGCCCTTTTGAGCCATTACCAGTATCAAGAGCTGATACTGGAGATGTGAAGGTGCGACTGCACCCTGCGTGACGGAAGATGTCTCCCGTCTTATCCTGACCCAATTCCTAGTGCTATATAGTCGTAATGGCTTGGCGCTTTCCTCTCATTAATTCCCTTCCTATCATTAAGATTCACCAGTGACTAATGAGGGTTTAGCAGCAATTACTGGTAATTGAACAATGAGTATTTAAACTGTTCAGTGGAAACATGAACAGATTATCGGCTGAAAATTCCTCTTCCCTAAATACAAGTTTGATTCTGACTCCTGTGAACAAATGAACACATGGTCTTGGGATGCTCCCGGACGCAGGTTCGAATCCTCGTCACGGCCCTTGTGGATTTGTTCATTTGATGCATCACGCTATTGTGATTTCTGTGTGTACTGACTCCTATGTTAATATATATATATATATATATACAACTTTATATATATATATATATATATATATTGATTATCTTATGAACCATTCATTTCTTATGGGCTATTCATGCCTGTGCCGCCTCTTGATTGGCCTAATCGTTATCAATCCATCAAACCATTGCTTTGTTATGCCAATATGAGGCAGCTCCTACTTATATCCAAACTCATTGATATGCTCTTTCTTTCTTGGAAATAATCATGACCTTATAAGAAATAGTGCCAAAACGATTGGGCATCATTCCTTTCGTCCATCCTATCCTAAATATTCACCCTCACGCGTCTTCCAAGAACTATGCAGTAACGATGGCTTAGTCATAGTGCTTTCTCTTCAGAATTACTATTACCGAACTACGGATGCCACTAACAATTATCAGCCAATTTGTAATTGGTTTGACCAATAATAATAATGATTTGTATTACCGAGTCTTTTAAACACATTCATGTTAACTTACAAGATCTTGTAAGACCTTGCTGTGTGTGGGAAATAGGCTTACAGGCTCCAACAGTTCACTGGAACATAATCTAACACAGTGCAGAATTACAGACTAAACAGACCACTGGAACATAATATAACACAGTGCAGAGTTACAGACCAAACAGACCACTGGAACATAATATAACACAGTGGTTATCTTGAGATTATTTCGGGGCTTTATATAGTGTCCCCACGGCCCGGTCCTCGACCAGGCCTCCACCCCCAGGAAGCAGCCCGTGACAGCTGACTAACACCCAGGTACCTATTTACTGCTAGGTAACAGGGGGCATAGGGTGAAAGAAACTCTGCCCATTGTTTCTCGCCGGCGCCTGGGATCGAACCCGGGACCACGGGATCACAAGTCCAGCGTGCTGTCCGCTCGGCCGACCGGCTCCCTAGAAGGAAGCAAAGTAACAAAGAAAAAAAAGATTTCTACAGCGAAGAAGTTGTTCAAAACATCGGGCATAACCTTAATGAATTCAACAGATGAGTCACAAATACTCATCCCGCGGGTGAGTAAGAGAGATGAGTAACACAGCGTGCCAGCCAGAGGTTTGGGGCCCGCGGAGGCATCTGCCTCTCGTCAAACAAGTATCAACACAAACAAATGATCACAGTTACTTCATTAATTACCTGTTGATATGGTTATATATTCATTCTAATTTATATTTTAATTCTCATAAACAAGTCTCTTACGAAATCATCGTATAATGATGCAGTATAATTAAAAGATTAATAGTTATATCGACCGTCGACCACTGGAAGAGAGAGACAGTGCTAAGCCACTACGACTATGGGAAGGGGTCAAGATAAACACACAAGAAACAAAAACAAAAATGACCTTCGGCATCAGGTCGATGGAACACAGAGCAGCAAAAAACACCCCAGCAAGCCAGGAGGAGATGTGTGCGTGGCGGTGACATTGAGGTGAGTGAGCTGGGGCCTGCGCGGGGACCCTCGGCGCCGCCGCTCGCTGACGTCACTACCCCTGGCCACGCCCCCTCTACCACACGCTCCGCCCACCCAGTCTAAGAAAATTTAGTCAATCTTATTGTTAGTCCTTCTACTGTCACCTTGTTTGTTGCTATTTATTGAATTGATGGAGTCGGATTGATTATATAACATATATTAAAGAGAGAATAGAATATTTATACAAAAAACACTAGTCTAACCCTTTTAATTATAGGTACATTAGCCTATAGAAATTGCAGGCATATTTGTACTCACCTATTTGTGCTTGCGGGGGTTGAGCTCTGGCTCTTTGGTCCCACCTCTCAACTGTCAATCAACAGGTGTACAGGTTCCTGAGCCTATTGGGCTCTATCATATCTACACTTGAAACTGTGTATGGAGTCAGCCTCCACCACATCACCCCCTAATGCATTCCATTTGTCAACCACTCTGACACTAAAAAAGTTCTTTCTAATATCTCTGTGGCTCATTTGGGCACTCAGTTTCCACCTGTGTCCCCTTGTGCGTGTTCCCCTTGTGTTAAATAGACTGTCTTTATCTACCCTATCAATTCCCTTCAGAATCTTGAATGTGGTGATCATGTCCCCCCTAACTCTTCTGTCTTCCAGCGAAGTGAGGTTTAATTCCCGTAGTCTCTCCTCGTAGCCCATACCTCTCAGCTTGGGTACTAGTCTGGTGGCAAACCTTCGAACCTTTTCCAGTTTAGTCTTATCCTTGACTAGATATGGACTCCATGCTGGGGCTGCATACTGCAGGATTGGCCTGACATATGTGGTATACAAAGTTCTGAATGATTCTTTACACAAGTTTCTGAATGCCGTTCGTATGCTGGCCAGCCTGGCATATGCCGCTGATGTTATCCTCTTGATATGTGCTGCAGGAGACAGGTCTGGCGTGATATCAACCCCCAAGTCTTTTTCCTTCTCTGACTCCTGAAGAATTTCCTCTCCCAGAGGAGAGAACCTTCCTCTCCTGTGTGTGTGTGTGTGTGTGTGTGTGTGTGTGTGTGTGTGTGTGTGTGTGTGTGTAAACATCACATACTGTTGATACTATATAATACATCCCCATCTATTAATACAATATATTCAATGATCCGTAAACAGTACTCCTAGATGAATGCAACTAGCTGAGTAAACTTACGAGTGTACACCTAGTTAGGTACAACTAGGTGAGTACAACTAGACGAGTACACCAAGATGAGTACACCAAGATGAGTACACCTAGATGAGTACACCAAGATGAGTACACCTAGATGAGTACACCAAGATGAGTACACCAAGATGAGTACACCAAGATGAGTACACCAAGATGAGTACACCTAGATGAGTACACCAAGATGAGTACACCAAGATGAGTACACCAAGATGAGTACACCAAGATGAGTACACCAAGATAAGTACAACTAGATGAGTACACCAAGATAAGTACAACTAGATGAGTACACCTAGATGAGTGCACCTAGATGAGGACACCTAGATGAGTACACCAAGATGAGTACACCAAGATAAGTACAACTAGATGAGTACACCTAGATGAGTGCACCTAGATGAGGACACCTAGATGAGTGCACCAAGATGAACACACCAAGATGAATACACCAAGATGAGTACACCTAGATGAGTACATCTAGATGAGTACAAGTAGATGAGTACACCAAGATGAGTACAAGTAGATGAGTACAAGTAGATGAGTACACCAAGATGAGTACAACTAGATGAGTACAACTAGATGAGTACAAGTAGATGAGTACACCAAGATGAGTACAACTAGATGAGTAAACACACGCTACGGAGAATTGGCAACAGTGGGTGACCCCGCCCCCTGGGGGTACAGGCTCCGCCCACCTCACCCCGGCAGCAATAAAAGGCCGGCTCCCTCCCACATCTCCTCAGAGCCAAGCAAGCCAGTGCAGTGAAAGTGTCCACCAGTGTGCAGTGACGCAGGAGCCTTAACATACCCCAACGCTTGGATTTCTGGATTAACAGTGATAGTTACTCTGCAAACCGATTTCCTACTATATAATTGTAAGTTGCAGTGTTACCCGTTAGTTTAGGGTGTTTGGAAAGTCATTTTGAACCAGTTATTTGTGAAGGACGTTATAATTTCTCGCTCGAAACTTATCAGTATTTGCGACATGTGAAGCCTCATTTAAGTTCATTCCTAGTTAAGTTGACACTTAAGTGTAGTAGCCTAAGTTAGAAAAAAACAGCCCTCGCTTGACTTATTGAATCATTGCGTTTAGATGAATCTCCCGTTAATGTGAACTATTAAAACCTTTCATTATAGGCTGATTGATCATAATTTGCATAGTGGGTCTGTTTTAAGTGCTAGTTATATTTTCTTGGGAGCTAGTAAACTTGTCTCTAAAGCTAGTAAAAGTAAATTATGTTTAAGTAAATCTGTTTTTGTGTGCTAATTTGTTTTAGGCTGAGATTTATTTAGTGAAGTAAGATAATCTCTTGTGTTAGTGAGTGCCTTTTGTGTGTTAGTGAGTGCCTTTTGTGTGTTAGTGAGTGCCTTTTGTGTGTTGTGAGTGCCTTTTGTGTGTTGGTGAGTGCCTTTTGTGTGTTAGTGAGTGCCTTTTGTGTGTTAGTGAGTGCCTTTTGTGTGTTAGTGAGGTGTTAGTAAGATTGTCCTTGTAAGTGTAAGAAAGTGATTAACTGTTGTTTTAATATATTAAGCTTGTAAGAAATGGTTCCATTACTAAGCCTGTGTGTTCTCTCCCCAGCTTGAGAGACATCTATGGGCAACGCTGTACAGAAGATCCGCGCTCGATTGGTCATGGAGCGCGCTCACGCCCACGGTATCCCCGCCCAAGCGGTGTTCTACCCTGACCGCAGCCGCAGCCCCGACGGCCGCAAGTCGTCCACAGGGTCGTCCAGCGAGGCCTCGTGGACCAGCGCCCAAGACGACCCCCTTGACGCTGCGCTCGAGTCGTTCGACGACCTCCACGACCCAGACGGCGCCCTGAGCGACCTCCTAGCCCGCACGGGAGAGGACGACTTCATGAAGGCCGTCCTATCCTTCTGCTCCTACATGGACGGCAGGATGGACACACTCGATAATTCTCGTATCTACGACGAGTTCAGGTCGTACACCGCGTGTGGTGCACTCAAGGTCTCTGTGGCGTGAGTGCCTCTTTCACCTACCTGTTGAGACTTGCTTTATGTCTGCAGCATCTCCAGAATGCCATGCTACGCTTCAACACAAGTATGAGATGAATTTCTTCTGCGAGATGAGATGCGCTCCGCTCCCAGATGCTGGGGAGGGCGGAGGGCGCCGGAAATGTCACGCGGAAGTGGCTGCTGCCGTAAGGCAACGGTCGGTCACCCTTAAGAGGCTCAGATTACCGTCGCCATAGCACTGTGTCGCCCCCTCCTTGTTGTCTGGGGCGACGGTGGCGCCATCGTCGCCCCAGTGGAGAGCGGGAGCATTACCTTCCGCGTGGGAATATTAAAGATTAGTCCGACGCGCTGTTTGTCCTTCAATGGGATTATGCGCACTCAAGTGGTCGTCACAGTTGTACAGTGAAGCTCTTAACGTGCCTCACAGATGGGGGGGGATGCTGGGGTAGTAGCATCAGCAGACGTCAGAGATCACATCTCTTCAAGCACGTCAGTCCACATTACCTCTCCTCCCCCACTGGCTCGGTCCATCCCATTATGTGTGTTGTGTACATATAACATATAGTTATTTCTATCAATGTAAATATATCTGTCGATATGGATCTCTCTTGCAGTATGCCTCAAAGGCAAGTGGTGTGTGTGAGTGTACTGTGTACTACACTGGGAGTACATGGGAGATTGTACGCTCTTAAATGTGCCAAATATTGAAGCATTACAGCACTCACTCGTCAGTCTGTAGTTGATGAGGTTCCTCAAGACTTTCCCCCTGTGAGATGCTGTAATGTAGTCTGGTTCTTGCTGTACCCACGTCTGTATTTGCCTGGTGGGCTCTGTGATACTGTGTGTATGTCTGGCTACAAGTACCTGTATATTGTGTATGAATGGTTCTTGAAGGGTTGTATATGCACCACGGATACATGGTTGTATGAAGTATGTTTTGGTACAGAGAAACTGTAAACATATAAGTTCCGTGCCTACCACTGCCTTTACTGGATACATTATAAATATTCTGTTCACATACCATTACTGTATTAAAATGTATGATGGTTGTATTTCCTCACTAAATTACTTGGATACATTTTCCATTGCTATATTTATAGTGAAATTATCAATATTTATTTCCCTTAATTTAATAATAAATTATGTATTTATTCAATCTAAAAAAAAATCTAATTTAATTAAAATGAAAAAAAAAGTATTCTGTATTTCAAAAGTAAAGCATTAAATAAAATGTGTTCCCAATATCTAATTAAAATTGAAACAAAGAAAGTTGTATAATGTATTGTGATTTATTTCTGTATAAGCCATTGTAGGCTGTGTGGTAGATGCCTATGGACACTGTACCTATGTATTATATTTATATAAAATTATTTTCATATTACAAAATCTTTGTCTACTTTATTGCAATTACCTTTATTAATAAGAATGTTATTATTGCAACTGAAAAAACAGTGGAAATGATCGAGTTTAGCTTTATTTGGTAATTCATTGTGCGAGAAAATATGATAATCTGTCTCTGTGGGAGTGAATTGGCAGGTGATTAAATAGGTGAAAATAGTGTAATTGATTATAGAAGGCAAATACCTTTATGCCTGAATTATATTAAGCTCTAAAAGGTTATCCTGCCAAAGGGATCTGGGTGTAATCATGTCGGAAAACATTGAGATTAAAGAACACAATAAAGTAGCCGTCACAACTGCAAGAAAAATGACAGGTTGGATAACAAGAACTTTTCACACTAGAGATGCTGTACCGATGATGATACTCTTCAAGACGCTAGTGCTCTCTAGAGTGGAGTACTGCTGCACAATGACAGCACCTTTCACAGCTGGAGAAATTGGTGACCTGGAGAGCGTGCAGAGATCCTTGGAATAAGAATAAGAACATGGAATAAGTTTAAGAGTTTAGCAAAACATCTAAACTACTGGGACCGACTAAAATGCCTAAATCTGTATTCTCTAGAGCGCAGGCGGGAGAGATACATAATAATTTACACGTGGACAATGTTAGAGGGGCTGGTCCCAAACCTGCACACAGAAATAACATCACATGAGACCAGAAGACATGGCAGGATGTGCAGAATACCCCCGTTGAAGAGCAAAGATGCAACAGGTACTCAGAGAGAGAACTCCGTCAACATCAGAGGTCCGAGACTGTTCAACACGCTTCCACTACACATATGGGGCATAACTGGCCGACCCCTCACAGTGTTCATGAGAGAACTATCAACATCAGAGGCCCGAGACTGTTCAACACGCTTCCACTACACATATGGGGCATAACTGGCCGACCCCTCACAGTGTTCATGAGAGAACTATCAACATCAGAGGCCCGAGACTGTTCAACACGCTTCCACTACACATAAGGGACATAACTGGCCGACCCCTCACAGTGTTCAAGAGAGAACTATCAACATCAGAGGCCCGAGACTGTTCAACACGCTTCCGCTACACATAAGGGACATAATTGGCCGACCCCTCACAGTGTTCAAGAGAGAACTATCAACATCAGAGGCCCGAGACTGTTCAACACGCTTCCACTACACATAAGGGGCATAACTGGCCGACCCCTCACAGTGTTCATGAGAGAACTATCAACATCAGAGGCCCGAGACTGTTCAACACGCTTCCACTACACATAAGGGACATAACTGGCCGACCCCTCACAGTGTTCAAGAGAGAACTATCAACATCAGAGGCCCGAGACTGTTCAACACGCTTCCACTACACATAAGGGGCATAACTGGCCGACCCCTCACAGTGTTCATGAGAGAACTATCAACATCAGAGGCCCGAGACTGTTCAACACGCTTCCACTACACATAAGGGACATAACTGGCCGACCCCTCACAGTGTTCATGAGAGAACTATCAACATCAGAGGCCCGAGACTGTTCAACACGCTTCCACTACACATAAGGGACATAACTGGCCGACCCCTCACAGTGTTCAAGAGAGAACTATCAACATCAGAGGCCCGAGACTGTTCAACACGCTTCCACTACACATAAGGGGCATAACTGGCCGACCCCTCACAGTGTTCATGAGAGAACTATCAACATCAGAGGCCCGAGACTGTTCAACACGCTTCCACTACACATAAGGGACATAACTGGCCGACTCCTCACAGTGTTCAAGAGAGAACTATCAACATCAGAGGCCCGAGACTGTTCAACACGCTTCCGCTACACATAAGGGACATAATTGGCCGACCCCTCACAGTGTTCAAGAGAGAACTATCAACATCAGAGGCCCGAGACTGTTCAACACGCTTCCGCTACACATAAGGGACATAATTGGCCGACCCCTCACAGTGTTCAAGAGAGAACTATCAACATCAGAGGCCCGAGACTGTTCAACACGCTTCCACTACACATATTGGGCATAACTGGCCGACCCCTCACAGTGTTCATGAGAGAACTATCAACATCAGAGGCCGGAGACTGTTCAACACGCTTCCACTACACATTAGGGGCATAACTGGCCGACCCCTCACAGTGTTCATGAGAGAACTATCAACATCAGAGGCCCGAGACTGTTCAACACGCTTCCACTACACATAAGGGGCATAACTGGCCGACCCCTCACAGTGTTCAAGAGAGAACTTGATACACACCTCCAAAGCATACCTGATCAACCAGGCTGTGATGCATACGTCAGGCGTCCAACAGCCAGGTTGACCAGCCCAGCAACCAGGAGACAGGGTCGAGAGTACGTTTACCACAATTCGAGGGCAGGTAACCTGCCTATATTATTGCTTGCAGTGAGGTGTGTTGCATGGCTCAGACATGCTCTGCTTGCATGGCCTGGAAGAACTCAGTGGAGTTAGTGTGGTGTTCTATGGACCTTGTCATCAACAATGTTTGCAACACTGCAACAGTGAAGGTTGCTGCAACACCACCACTATTATAATCCTCATGACTACCATACAACACCTCTATCATAACACCCACCAACACCCACCACAACCACCAACACCCACCACAACCACCAACACCCACCACCACAACCACCAACACCCACCACAACCACCAACACCCACCACCACAACCACCAACAACCACCAACACCCACCACAACCACCAACAACCACCACAACCACCAACACCCACCACAACCACCAACACCCACCACAACCACCAACACCCACCACCACAAACACCAACACCCACCACCACAACCACCAACACCCACCACAACCACCAACACCCACCACCACAACCACCAACACCCACCACAACCACCAACACCCACCACCACAACCACCAACACCCACCACAACCACCAACACCCACCACCACAACCACCAACACCCACCACAACCACTAACAACCACCAACACCCACCACAACCACCAACAACCACCACAACCACCAACACCCACCACAACCACCAACACCCACCACAACCACCAACACCCACCACAACCACCAACACCCACCACAACCACCAACAACCACCAACACCCACCACAACCACCAACACCCACCACAACCACCAACACCCACTACAACCACCAACACCCACCACAACCACCAACACCCACCACAACCACCAACACCCACCACAACCACCAACAACCACCAACACCCACCACAACCACCAACACCCACCACAACCACCAACACCCACCACAACCACCACAACCACCAACACCCACCACAACCACCAACAACCACCAACACCCACCACAACCACCAACAACCACCACAACCACCAACAACCACCACAACCACCAACAACCACCACAACCACCAACACCCACCACAACCACCAACACCCACCACAACCACCAACAACCACCAACACCCACCACAACCACCAACAACCACCACAACCACCAACAACCACCAACACCCACCACAACCACCAACACCCACCACAACCACCAACACCCACCACCACAACCACCAACAACCACCAACACCCACCACAACCACCAACAACCACCACAACCACCAACACCCACCACAACCACCAACACCCACCACAACCACCAACACCCACCACCACAACCACCAACACCCACCACCACAACCACCAACACCCACCACAACCACCAACACCCACCACAACCACCACAACCACCAACACCCACCACAACCACCAACAACCACCAACACCCACCACAACCACCAACACCCACCACAACCACCAACACCCACCACAACCACCAACAACCACCAACAACCACCAACACCCACCACAACCACCACAACCACCAACAACCACCAACAACCACCACAACCACCAACACCCACCACAACCACCAACACCCACCACAACCACCAACACCCACCACAACCACCAACACCCAACACAACCACCAACACCCACCACAACCACCAACACCCACCACAACCACCAACAACCACCAGTGTAACATCGGTCGATGTCGTTGTAGAATGATTAGGTCGTGGGCAGGAATTGGAGTACCAAACGTCCACTGCTTTTTCTTAGTTTTATTATAAATATATATATATATATATTTTATCTTCTACACGGGCCACGAACTAGCTTGTAGAGTGTGTAAGGGAGCGCGTGTAGACGCTCTGATGCCCGGGGTGTGTCTGAGGTCTGAGGTCTGCAGCAGAGTAGATTGCATTCAAATCTGCTGACACGTTGTTGATACTTATTAAGTTGTTTAGCTTAAGAGGGTATTAGGTCACCCTATGTGTATGTCCATGGGCGACTAACTGGCGTCCAACACCGCTCGGCACGCTATCATCGGCGTCCTCGGCGATCTGCTTGAAAAATTTGAAAACCCTTGGGCGTGTACCTAACTAACGTTATATACAGTGATTTACCTATAGTGGCCGTAAACAAACAAGTTTTGAAACGTCCAACATTACTCCCAGATAAAAAAAAAATCCCATTTTAAGACAATGATTCAAGAACTCTGAGTTACATCACTGAACAACAGGGAATAAGTTTAAGAGTTTAGTTGATCAGAAAGCGATACAAAATAGTTCAAAATTAAAAAAATGAATTAAGTTGGTATATAGAGAGAAGACAATACAAAACTTACAGTATGTTACAGCGAAGAAACTCATTCGTCTCAACAATATAATTACAGGCCTTGTAGCCTTGTGTGGCCTCGTAGCCTGGTGGATAGCGCGCAGGACTCGTAATTCTGTGGCGCGGGTTCGATTCCCGCACGAGGCAGAAACAAATGGGCAAAGTTTCTTTCACCCTGAATGCCCCTGTTACCTAGCAGTAAATAGGTACCTGGGTGTTAGTCAGCTGTCACGGGCTGCTTCCTGGGGGTGGAGGCCTGGTCGAGGACCGGGCCGCGGGGACACTAAAGCCCCGAAATCATCTCAAGATATCCTCAAGATAACAGGTTAATAATCAATTGCAGAAAATATCATATCACCTAACATACCCT